AGCCACCTGACAATCCTCTATATCCCAAAGTTGTTTGTGAGTGCAACTATTGATTTTCTTTTGTCCATTAAACTTCCTTATGCATGCTACACTATGGGGTGTGAGCTCCTCTCTCTCCTTTCTTGTTTTATACAGGTTTGCAGCATCAGCTCATGCAGCTCAGCAGCAGCACCCTCTTAGTTATAGCAGCTTTTGGACTGTTTTGTAATCTGGGCTACCTGCTTTTAGATATTATTATATCCATATTGCTTTTTCAATGTTTGTATTTTTTTTAATCATTTATTAGAGGTATATTGTACTCTTGGATTGATTGATTTATTCTCAGACTCATTTTTAGGCTTTCATGGGGGGGGGGGTTTCATCACACTCACACAATCCTAATCAAGCTCTGACAAACTCTTACCCTAGGCTCACATCTAAGCGTTTTCTGCAGTGTTTTGCAGAGACGAAGTACAATCCATTTAACACGATTTCCTATGGGACATGTTCACATCTCTGCGTTTTTTCCGGACCCTTTTTTTGGAAAGGGTCAGGGACTTTTTTTGAACGCAAAAAAGTTGCGTTTTTGGTTCCATAGACTTCGGTGGAAATGCTGCAGAAAAGCATTTAGAGCACTTTTGCTGCATTTTGGATACATTTTTTATGCATTTTGCATTTTAAATGGCCTAGTAACAAGAAAAATGAAAAAAAAAAAACAGCAAAAATGCAGGTGCAAAAACACAACACAAAATACAATTCAAAAACAGGTCAAACGCAACCTGTATAGGTGTGAACCTAGCCTTAGCTGGTGGAGAGCCTTATTGGGCTCATCACAGCTATTTAAACAACAGGTGATATTTTCCTGGAGGTGAGCGCAGTTTGTTACACAGGTTTTCCTTTGACACTATCCATTTTGGCAAACCACATGCCATGTCTGACATGTTTTTAATGCCATGACAGGCAGGCTATTTCTAGTGAAGTAAAACATAGGGTAGTTTGGAGTAAAGCAAGTTATAGCCACTTTAGTACTCAAGATTTCTAAATGTGTGGAACTCCGACAGCACTTACATATGTCCAGGCCAAGGAAAGAGATAAACCTCCAAAAATCTGGCCTTTATGGAAGAATGGCAAGAAAAAGCCATTGGTGAAAGAAAGTCATAAGAAGTCCCATTTGCAGTTTGTGAAAAGCCATGTGGGGAACACAGTAAGCATGTGGAAGAAGGTGCTCTAGTTGAAAAAAATTTAACTTTTTGGCCTAAAAGCAAAACGCTATGTGTGACAGAAAATTAACACTGCACATTACCCTGAACACACCATCATAGATTGTAAGCTCCAAGGAGCAGGACCCTCGAACCCCTTGTGTATTGTATTGTATTGTATTGTTACTGTACTGTCTCGTGTACTGTCTCCCATTATAATGTACAGCGCTGAGCAAACTGTTGGCACTATATAAATATTGCATAATAATAATAATAATCCCCACCATGAAACGTGGTGGCAGCATCATGTTGTGGGGATGCTTTTCTTCAGCAGGGTCAGGGAAGCTGGTCAGAGTTGATGGGAAGATGGATGGAGACAAATACAGGGCAATCTTAGAAGAAAACCTGTTAGAGTCTGCAAAAGACTTGAGACTGGGATGGAGGATCATCTTCTGGCAGGACAACAACCCTAAGTATACAACCAGAGCTACAATGGAATGGTTTAGATCAAAGCATATTCATGTGTTAGAATGGCCCAGTCAAAGTCCAGACCTGAATCCAATTGAGAATCTGTGGGAGACTTGAAAATTGCTGTTCACAGACGTCCTCCATCCAATCTGACAGAGCTTGAGCTAGTTTGCAAAGAAGAATGGGCAGAAATGTAAACTTAGATGTAGAGACATACCCAAAAAGACTTGCAGCTGTAATTGCAGCAAAAGGTGGTTCTACAAAGTATTGACTCGGGGGTTGAATACAAATGCATGCCACATTTTTCAGATATTTATTTGTAAAAAATGTTTAAAACAATTTATCATTTTGCTTCCACTTCAAAATTATGTGCTGCTTTGTGTTGATCTATCACATAAATTCCCAATAAAATGCATTTACATTTTTGGTTGTAACATGACGAAATTTGGAAAATTCCAAGGGGTATGAATACTTTTTCAAGGCACTGTAGCAGGACATTGGATGAATGAGCAACTCTCAGCACTAGTAGGTAGTTAGGCTTTCTTGCATTGTCCATGTGCTGACAGGGATAACTCTGACAAGAGAAGCAAACAGAATGATGACTCCGTGTGCTTCTACTCTGCTCCTTCTTTGTCCAATCAGCAATTGGGGAGTATGTTCTGGAGCAGCAGAGGCACTTGCTGAACATAATTAAACATTCTTTGGCAGGTAAAAGGGTTCACTTATGCCTATTATTATTATTATTATACAGGACTTATATAGCGCCGACAGTTTGCTCAGCGCTTTACATTATGGAGGGAGACAGTACAGTAACAATACAGTTCAATACAAGAGGGAATAGAGGGCCCTGCTCCTCGGAGCTTACAATCTAGGAGGGAGGGGATAGTGGTAAAAGAGGTAATTATGGGGGATAGTGGTTTTTCAGTAGTAGCGGGGTTGGGGTAGGCTTCTCTGAAGAGATGAGTTTTCAGAGTGCGCCTAAAAGTGAGCAGAGTAGGCGATAGCCTGATATCTTGGGGTAGGGAGTTCCAGAGGATGGGTGAAGCCCGTGAGAAATCCTGGAGACGAGCATGGGAGGAGGAGACAAGGGAGCTAGAGAGTAGGAGGTCTTGTGAGGAGCGGAGAGTATGGTTTGGGTGGTATTTAGAAACAAGGTCACTGATGTAGTTAGGGGCAGTGTTATGAATGGCTTTATACGTCAGTGTTAGTGTTTTGAATTTTATCCGCTGGGCAATTGGAAGCCAGTGGAGGGATTGGCAGAGAGGGGTTGCAGATACAGAGCGGTTAGTAAGGTGAATGAGTCTGGCAGCAGCATTCATGATGGACTGGAGTGGGGATAGCCTGCGATGAGGCAGGCAGTGAGAAGGGAGTTATAGTATTCAAGGCGTGATATAATAAGGGAGTGGATGAGTTGCTTAGTAGTTTCCGAGGTTAGGAACGGTCGTATCTTGGAGATGTTGCGGAGATGAAGTCTACATGAGTTTGTCAGTGATTGGACCTGGGGCTGAAAGGACAGATTAGAGTCTAGGATTACACCTAGTACCCTGGCGTGAGGGGTGGGACTGATGGTAGTGTTGTTGATCTTGATGGAAAAGTCAGGGGGGGGGGGCACGGGCTGTAGGGAATACTAGAAGCTTAGTTTTGGAAAGGTTGAGTTTGAGGAAGTGGAGTGACATCCAGTCTGATATGTCACTTAGTAGGCTAGCAATGCGATTGGAGACTGAGGGGGTGAGGTGTGGGGTAGAGAGATAGATTTGTGTGTCGTCGGCATAGAGATGGTAGTTGAAGCCGTGGGAGTTTATCAATTGGCCAAGGGAGGAGGTGTAGATGGAGAAGAGGAGGGGTCTGAGGACAGAGCCTTGGGAGACCCCGACAGAGAGAGGGAGTGAAGGGGAGGTGGCAGAATTATAGGTAACACTGAAGGAGCGCTGATAGGAGGAGAACCAGGAGACAGCGGAGTCTCTGAGGCCAAGAGAGTGCAGTTTTTCGAGGAGGAGGGGGGTGGTCAACCGTGTCAAAAGCTGCAGAGAGGTCAAGTAGTAGGAGTATAGTATAGTGGCCATTGGTTTTAACTATGTATGTCGATGATTTTCTGCAGTCCTGCTTTAAAGTGAAAGTAAACCCATTTTGGTAACTTTTACCTACAGGTAAGCCTTTAATAAGGCCTGCCTGTAGGTACTGTAAACATCTCCCAAACATGCACTGTTTAGGATATATTTACTGTAGAAGCACTGGTGATGTCATCATCCATTGAGATAGCCATGCCCCGGCTGAAACTACCTTTGCGCATGTGCAGGACTGACAACATCGCGGCTTGGCCAATCAGATGGCCGCAGTTCTCGAACCTGGAAAGAAGACTGGGTGAAGATGGAAGCCTCAGGGACCCGTGACAGTGCTCCGCTGGAGGGCTTCGTTTTCAGGTAAGTCTTTCATAATGTGCTAGTATGTGATGCATACTAGCACATTGTGGTCTTAACTTGCAGGGAGAAGATTTTGTAGATCCTTTGGACGGTTTACTACCGTTTTAAAGCTGAACTCTGGGATAAACAAATATTGACCAAATACATTCATTATGTGTATTCTTCCTTGAATCTTTGTATATTTTGTGTATTTCTTCTAGATTTGTGTTCAAGTATGAAACTTTGCCTCTGTGCAGGAGCTTCCGGTAATAAAGACCAGTCACTGCTGTTCTCTCTACTTATGCAAGGTGACTGGCCTTGCCTTTACCCCCTCCTGTAGTTTTCTGTAAGTAGCTTGTGGTGGGTGGAGCCTGCTGGGACTCTCCCACAGCACTGTCCTCTGCACAGGGTATGTACAGCACAGAGATGGTGTCACAACTACTTTTATAAGGTCATATCTGGGTTTACAAAGGTATTTGGTGCACTCAGATTGGATTGGATATATCATTTGTGGCTATTGAGGAATACCGTATTTTTCGCTCCATAAGACGCACATGAACATAAGACGCACCTAGGTTTTAAAGGCGAAAAACAAGAAAAAAAATATTCTGAACCAATGGACTGCAGACACAGTACAGGAAATGACCAGTGACTGCAGACACAGTACAGGAGATGACCAGAGACTGCAGACAGTACAGGAGATGACCAGAGACTGCAGACATACTACAGGAGATGACCAGAGACTGCAGACATAGTACAGGAGATGACCAGAAACTGCAGACATAGTACAGGAGATGACCAGAGACTGCGGACACACTACAGGAGATGACCAGAGACTGCGGACATAGTACAGGAGATGACCAGAGACTGCGGACATAGTACAGGAGATGACCAGAGACTGACATAGTACATGAGATGACCAGAGACTGCTGACATAGTACATGAGATGATCAGAGACTGCGGAAGTACTACAGGAGATGACCAGAGACTGCGTACACAGTACATGAGATGACCAGAGACTGCAGACACAGTACAGGGGATGACCAGAGACTGCGTACACAGTACATGAGATGACCAGAGACTGCGGACACAGTACAGGGGATGACCAGAGACTGCGGACACAGTACAGGAGATGACCAGAGACTGCGGACAGTATAGGGGATGTCCAAGAGACTGCGGACAGTATAGGGGATGACCAGAGACTGCGGACAGTGCAGGGGATGACCATAGACTGCGGACAGTGCAGGGGATGACTAGAGAATATGGACTGTGTAGGGTATGACTAAGAGACTGCGGACTGTATTCCCTTTAGTGTGGGCACCAGGCTGACAGCTGTGTACCCAGTGCACATGGTCCGGCGTCTTCTGGGACCTGTCATGTGTCCCAGAAGACGCCTTACCATTCACTTCTCGCGCATGCGCACTGGGCACCCGGCTGTCACAGCCGGGTGCTCACACTACTAGATGCCGGCACGGGAAGACTGTGCAGCACTGGGTCGAGGAACAGGTAAGGTCCTGCTGCACAGAAGAGACGAGCGGTTGGCCTGGTATTCTCACACGGCGGCGGTGGGAATACCGGATTGGCCGCTCCATATTCGCTCCATAAGACGCACTGACATTTTCTCCCCCCTTTTTTGGGGGGAAAAAAGTGTGTCTTATGGAGCAAAAAATACAGTACATCTAACCTGTTGCCACCCAGCAAATAGCAGAGTGGTGGCCAAGTGGGACTCACATGATGTCCTTCTCGGATCGTGCCTCACGCGTGCCCGCGGGGCCATGCTATGGCGAGATCTGATGACAGATCTGTGTACTGGCCTGTTGCCAGTATCGTGTGACCTGCTGTGACCTGTCACAGCAGGTCACATGACAATTGTAAACAATGGATGGCTTCCTTTCATGCCATCCATTGTGATTGGTCACAGTGATCACATGTACAGACTGGGCAAATCACAGCCCATCTGTGTCATGTGATCACAGCTGATCACAACAAAAAAACTGAATAAATCCATTTTCTTCAGTTAAATGCTTGCCTTTAGCAAATAAATTCTTTGCTATAAACAATCATAATGTGTAAAAAAAAAAAACTGATCACTTCCCCCAAGTAGTACAATGTTACTATGGTAACATTTCACTACTCTGGTCACAGCTTATTTTGAAAAACAATATTATAAAAAAGAAAAAAATGTTATAATAAAAAACAACATTTTTAAAAAAGTTTATTTTGTTTCCCCTGTATGGTCACCAGTCAGTGTCCGTGATCACCACCACACCAGTTATACAATGATGCTGTACTGCACTGGTGACAGTATGTTAAAAAAAAAAAAAATACAACTTGCTAAAAAAAAAAAAAACTTGCTATGCCTCTTACTATACCTTAGACTGTCTACTTTGCAAAAAGGGGTCTTTGGGGATATCTGTACTGTTCTGACATTTTTGGGCCTCAAGAAATTAGATTGGCTGTCAGTACTTCAGAATTGATCAATTTTCAGATACTGTATATCCCATAGTTTGTGAACTCTATAACTTTCCTACAGACTAAATAATAAATACTGATTTTGGGTTATTTTCACCAAAGAAATGTTGCAGAATACATCTTGGCCTAAATGTATGAAGAACAATTATTTATTTCCAAAGTTATAACAAAAACAAAACCTTGGTTTTTTTCAAAATATTCAGTCTTTTTTCATTAATTTAGCAAAAAATAAAAACTCCAGTGGTGATTAAATACCACCAAAAGAAAACTCTAGTTGTGTGAACAAAATGCTAAAAGTTTAGTTTAGGTGCAGTGTTGCATGATCGCGCAATTGTCATTCAAATTGTGAGAGTGCTAAAAGCTGAAAATTGGCTTGGGCAGGAACGGGGTAAAAGTGCCTGGTATTGAAATGGTTAAATGAAAGTCTTTGTATCCAGAGTTCAGTTTTAATGTATATACAAATGAAAGGTAAAAGGAAATTTGTACAACATAAGCACATAGAAAGCGTCCATTTTGGGATAGTTGTCATATAATTTATGGCATGACCATGAGTTATAGTGATCAGTACTTTAAAGTGACATACTTGGTGTACAAATGACTCAGACTGTGCTACGAGTTTTTGCTGTTTATAAATGATCTTTTTTATCAGTGTGCTCATTTATACAAAAGAAAAGTCGATGATGAAAGTCTCTTAGCTGCACACAACACCTTGTATTCGTTAATGCTTCAATACATTTAATGAAGATGATGTACAGTCTTCCAGAGACCTGTCTTTAAACAAGATGAAACAACTGTCTGGGCATTTTCTGTCTGTGCACTTTTAACCTACATTCTTTTTGAGTAATAGGCTATACATACAGGCATTACATTATCGCTGTTATGGTCACTGCTAATGTTCAAAGAAATATAGTATAAGTGACTTGAAATTATGCATGCTGGAAATTAGTATTAGACACTAAGCTACATTAAAATAATTACACATGCAGTAGACGTATTGCAAAACACAAGTTATGAAAAAGATTAATTCTAAGTCTTGTGACCTTCCTTTAAAAAACAAACATGCCAAAATACAGTATATGCTGTTAATTAACATGCCTACTGTATATGTCTCACTTTGTTTGGCTGTTTTAGGGGTAAGCAGTTTTCTGGCCTTGAAGTGACAACACCAGTGGCAATGCTGATGGGCATTTTTGCCTGTCCATAAAAGTGAGGTCAGACGTGACTGCATGCACTGAATAATTTTCTTTCTCTTATGTACTAGAGCACTTTATGCTAGGAGGAGACACAAAATGGCTGCCAGACATTCGGGTATAACCCAATTACCAAACATTCCTTTGCATGAACACGTATGGTTATGCCTAAGGTGCAAACACAAAGAGAAGAATGCCCTGACATTTCCTGGCATCTTCCTTATCCTGAGTGAGACAATAGTGAGAAAAAAATCCAACCCAACTGGTAAAATGGCAAGAAATTCACTAACGAGAGTCTGCTTCTATCCCTATAGGCTTGAGGATTATCACTTGATATGTTTCATTCTCATATCTATGGGTGCCATTATGCCTGCTGACCTGAAACTTGGAGTAGGCAGGCTATGGGATGGAGGTTGAAATCTCTCCCTGGGCCACCTTCCTCAGATCTTCCATAGCAGCAACACAACAGACTACAAAGGTTTAAGTAATAGCATTAATACTGTATTATGTGTCTTTATTCTAACCACTGAAGATCGTAAAAAAACTCAAAAAGATGCTACCAAAGATATGGCAATTTTTTGTAGAAAAATCCTGGTTGAACTAAACAAAAATGTTTTTTAAACAAGAGAGACACAGTTTGATATAAGATAGTAATAATAACACTTTACAAACATATTCATCCTAAAATCTTTATTTTTATTAAAGAAGTATTAAACATGTAGGCAGGCTGGAATGTACCATGATGTACAATGATAGTAAGCTAGCTTGTTTGCCCAGGTTAGGGAAGGGTTAATGCTAGTTCTGCAGTTCCCATTCTTTCTGGGTTTTGCCTCTCTCCCTGTGCTGTTCTAAAAAGGGTGAGGGTTCTGCTCACTTGGAGGTCTGCATGGGAACAAGACAGAGACAAACCATAAAGATGTAATCTCCAGCTGCTTTACAGAGAGGGCTCTGCTCACACAGCTCCATCTGCCAGGGAATTGAAACAAGATGCAACCCTTTACAGCCAGCAGCCATCCTGGAGCACTCTGGGGCTCTCCTGCAACAGCATGGACTTGTACCAAGTGATGGACTCTCATCTGGAATGGAAGGCCTGGGCAGCCACACACAAGAATAGTTTGATAGGGATGAGACTATCTTTGAACTTTAACCTGTTATGCTGCAGAAACTTTAAGTAAAGCTTGTTAAGTGTTTTCTGAGCCTGGTCTGAAGTCACTAAAAGGGTGCATGAGAGGCACATGGCAGATACACTACACTATTTTGGGTCAGTAATGCACATACGAGGTATGAAGTAGATCAATCACAAGGACTAACCAAGTACATGTTCAAGACACAAAGCAACCAGTCATAGGCATGGTACCTGGTAAGGTGGCAGGTCCTCCGGTAGCAAACGGGTCATTATTTGGCTGCCTCCCAAGCTGTGGGAACAGACCAGCATTACAGAGATCCATGACCTGGACAAGGGGTACAGGAAGCTAAGGAGTTAATTGTGAGCATGCATGAGGTCCACTCTATCTGCTTGGCAGGACCCTATTCTGCTACAGGGAGCAAAGTAACAAAGCTAGACGGGTGGAATGGGGGCAGGCTCAGTACGTCCCTCCTAATGCAGCAACTACTGATGTTAAAGTGTGCAGTGACATGGGCCACCACTTTTCAGAGGAACTCTGTATTTCTTTACTGCACACAGTGTAAGCTCATCTCTTAATTGGAGAACTGCCCTAATGTTAGATTTTTCACGACTGTAACTTCCACCTGGTCCCAGGCATTGATGAGCATGCTGCATGTTAAAAGGTACCTTCGCAAACAAGGCTTTTGTGACCCCTGCCCCACACTACCTGGCATAGCCCAAGAACCTTGTGGGCTTACAGCACTGAGTGGACAGCAGGAATGTGCCCGCTCTGCACCATCCACAATACTTACTATTTTTTTAATCAATGCTTGATTGATATGTGGGCTTAAACTCTTACACAGTTTTCTATTCACTGCCTCTCTCTCCAGATCACGCGCTCCTCCAGACTTCTAGACATGGATGCACAAACATTCATTACTTTAAAATACATTGCATACAAGTGCGCTAGGGATAGTTCAGACTCTAGCTGCCGTTAATTTCTCGCTTGGAGGGGCTGGAGGGGGAGCAGAGGAGTGGTTTGCCACCAGGACTATCTGCTTTTGCAAACAGAAGGGGATTCATCTGTAGTGCCAACCATCATGCATGCAAAGGTGGCTCCATGAGACCTTGTAAGTGGACATACAACATCTCAAACATTCCAAATAATGTCTTTTTCTTCTTTGATAAGGGAAACATTGCCACATTTTGTCTTTTATAGTGATTCTTCTGAAGTTATATAGAAGTCCATGGGCTCCAAAAAACCCCAGGGCCCTCTTAAGTAATTATCGATCACACAGATTCCTGGCCCAAGTGTACCCACCCTCTGCACTGCCCTTTTAGCTGACCAATGATGGCTGGCCAAGGCAGACAATAGGCAAGCTAGTTTTGTGTCATAAACCAGACAATGAGAATTATCTTATGTCTGAGAATGGATAACAAAAATATGTTGTGTCTGTGGCCACTTTCCAAGGAAAAGGAGTAACTACACAAAGCTCCTAACATTGCTTATGTATAACTTCTTGGACAGCCCAAGAGCATTAGGGTTTGTTAGATGGAGGTTTTATGAATGTATTTTCATTTGAGATGACTTTATTAAGCATCAAAATAACAAAATTCAATTATTAAAAATAAATATATATATATATATTGTAATATTATATGTGTATTTATAAAGCAGTGAATTTGACATTTACCAAACTGCAGGTGAATCTTCCTGGTGCTTGTGTTTGAATTAACAGTGATTGATGCACTTGCAGTGA